CTCTGCTTAAAATTACAGGACAGGGCCTCCCTGGTGGCGCAAGGGGTTAAGACGCAACCTATGAAGCTATCTGCAGCCCTGCACCACAGAGTTCGATCCCTGGCCAGGGAGCTACCCACATGGTGCAGTAGACCTCTCCTGACTTGCCCGCTGCTCCCCTCAGCAGCGTATTTCAGTCAGTCCACCTGTTCTGTTCCCCACTTTGTCTCTGGTGAATCCTCCCCCCTCCCATACCTCTGGCCTGTACCTAGCTCTTGTATGCATAAGTAAATAAATCTTAAAAAAAAAAATTCCAGGACAGAAAACTTCATAGGACATAATGGAAAAAGCCAAGATCTGACGTGTAGCTCCTGCATGAGGGTCATGAGTGTGTGACCTTGAGATTACTTTTAGGATTCCAGAGTCCTCATGTGTCTGGAGAGGAACAGGAGGAGGCCAACTCTAAGATGTCATATTGTTTTAGCTTCTTGAATATTCCTGAGGTTCTAAATAACAGTTCTCAGTCCTCCTTCCAGGATTTAAAAATTACCAACTGAAAAGTTATTTCTTGATCTAAAAACCTATGGAGTCGAAGAATCAGTGAGAAGTTTGAAGCTGGGTCACCAACTTTTGCAGACATTGCCCTTAACACATACGTGGCGAGAAGTAAAATCTAGATAAATCTTTGTTGAGTGGAATTTATGAACGAATGACTGATTGAATATCAAGGACCAGTAAAAACAGACTCCACTGAGCAAAACTTAATGCAAGGAGAAAATGCTATCAATGTAAAACATTGATATTTACTGTCATCTAATCTAAAGCCATAATAGCAGGTAAACAGTTTCTGCCTGTGAAAAGGATGCCTGACTCCAAAAGCCACCTTTGGGCTTTGCTAGAAGAGCACATTTTGCTTGGTCACAAGGGGATGCCACAGGTTGCAGAAGGGATGCATCAACCCGGAGGAAGACTTGCCATCCAACCGCAATGGCTGGCATGTCACGGAAACATGTCAATGTGAAAGGGAAATGCCAGCACCTCTGCCTGCTGACATGCAATTGTATAGGCCTAGGAGTGCCCAGCTGAAGAGGGGAGTAAAATCCAGTAGGTGGTCTGGCCATCCATAAGGCTAAGTCCACCATGGGTAGCAGCCCGGATGTTTGACTTCAGCAGTAGATGGGTTGGTGTGCTGGGGACTTTAGTAATAAAGAAAATAATAATAAAGCATGCACACAAATACGTGCATGCACCTAATGGTCATTATGTGCCTGACGCTTTGTTAAACTTTAAAAATATTTTATCGTATTTAATTTTAACTATCCTGAGGGATAGGTGCTATTGTTTGAGGCAGTATATCTTGTTTGAAAGCATGGAGACAGACTGCTGGGTTCAAATCCTAAGTGCTGATTATAAGTGAGATGACACTGAGGGGGATTATTTAAGCTTTCTGGGCCTCAACATTCTCATATGTAAAATGGAATAGTGAGAGTACCAGTCTCATGAAATTGTTGTGTGATAAAATGAGTTAATATGTGGGAAATGCTTAGAATAGGAGTTGGCATTGAAGAAATCCTTAATAAGTTGGTTATTCTCATTATTTCCATCTAATAGAGACCAAAGCAAAGAAAGATGAGTGGTTTTCCCAAGGTCTCACACCTAGGGAGGGGCAGAACCAGGAAAAACGCAGTCTGTCTTCATAGTACACATGACCCACCAAGACTGTAGCTCTTCAACCCTCTCCCCCAACCCCGTTCACACCATTATGCTTATCTCCTCTCCTAACTATGCCAATGTGACCTAGTCTTAGCAGCAACCAAGGTGGTATAAGATGCTAGAAGGAAGACTCTAAAAGAACTGGCTTTCTAACTTATTTAACCTCTGATTTGGCTACCATGCCAAAAACTCCAAATGTGCTTTGATATGGGAATCTGCTCCACATCTAAGAGAAAGGGGCCTTTTTCCAAGAGGGGAGGATCACTGCTTCTGGGCCTTTTTATGAAGCCTTACAAGTCCTCTCCTTGAAACCCCAAGACAAGGTAAAGCCTGGACTGCCCAATAAACCATACCCTTAGTTAAGTATTTCTGAATATAGATAATGGACATAATTACAGGTAGAGAGAGAGAAACAACATGAAGGCAGATCTGGCAAGAGAACCTCATAAACCAAGATTACCATTCTGCCCTGGTCTTGCCTGGTTGCCTATGAGGCACTAGAAAGAGCCAAAACTATGGTTGAAAAAAACACAAGCATCATATCTGTGATCCAGAAGGATCTGGAAGTAGGAATCTTTGAAGTGCCAACTCAAAGAAAACATCTGTAGTTGTGGTTAGTGAAGACCTATGGGTGTTTGCTCTGTGCCAGCACCTGCAGAAACAAAAATCTTATTTGTTCCTCATGTAAACAGTACGAGGTAAGCAGTGTTCATTAGCCTCCTTAGATGAGGAAACTGAAGCTCAGAAAATTCAAATAACTTCTCCCAAGGTCACACAGTCAGTCTAGCTTCAAAGTCCATACTCTTGAAATCAACACTTTCAGACCCTTTCGTGCAGCCTACAGTAGGAAATAGTCTACATCAGGACCCAGTAAACACTCACACATTTATATAATATTGAAATAAAGCCTTAAAGCAGAGTAACACTCCCCATTACCAAGTCCAATGTACTCTGATGTTTTCTATTTCATTCTATTCCGTTAAAAAAAAAATCACTAAACAAATATTTATGGAATACCACATATGTGTTAGATGCTGTTCTAGGTTTTGGGGCTATACTGCAATTGAATGAGATTAAAATCCTCACCCTCTTGGTCCCTGCATTTATTGGAGAAAGGGAGTGAATATAACCCACATGCAAAATCATAGCATGATTGAGGGGGTAATCGGGTAAATGTTAGGGAGGGGGGAAAAAATGCATGGAAAGTCAAGGAGAGCCAAGGAAGGCCTCAAGATGCTTTCACCTTCACTATGCTGATTTCATGGGTTGCCACCCACAGTCTGAAAACCCCTACCCTTGATCCTTCCAATTCAGTGCTTCCTTGTGTGTTTGAAGACTTCCTCCTAGAGTGTTCACATGAATGTGACTGTGTGCAATGCGTATATGAGTACAGGTGTGCACAGATATGTGCTTACATGTATGCAGGTGCATGTCCACCCCCATTCAATTTCTCACTGGGGAGATTTTGGAGACAGGAGGCAGGGCCCCCACATGAAGCTATGCAGGGGTTCCCTATACAAGTTTTCTCTGCAGAGGTGGCCTGGAATGGGGCCTGGAATACAGCTCAGGCACTGCTGGCCAAAGCATGAGTGCCAGACATGTGTCCCGGCTTGAATCTTTAGTCCAGAGGAAGAATCTTTTTATTATTGGTACATCCAGAGCAGGCACCTTTTGAATTCATTAGGCCAGAGGGAATGCTGGTTCCAGCTGCACAAGGTGCTCTAGAGTGCCCTTATAAAGAGAGGAGACATTGCACAAAAACAAAAATCACTCTCTGGGGAAAATCCAGTGAACTGGGCATACGTGTCGGGGTGACTGATGTGCATTTGGGGATGGGGCTGGAGCCAGCTTTGAAGTAGCTGGGGCCACTTGGGTAGCCTCCATGGAGGGCATTTGGAACTTGGCACTAGAATGAAATCCTCTGGACTCTTCCTTTAAGTTAAAGGGATACATGAAATGTTACTAGTATGGGCAGCAAATGCATTACCTATGGGAAAAGCAGCCAATCTCTGCTAATGAATAAGTGTAATTGATCACAACAGATGACTTGATGGACCTTCCAAATATGCTTTTAGCAGAGTGGACAGTTTTTCATTCAAATGCAAACTCACCCAGATATTATCTAATAATGGAGATTTTGGAACAATCCCAGAATCAGTGATTTCTTCTCTTTTCCTCCTTCACTGAGAAGGAAGCTATCTTAAGCTTCTGGTCACAGTTTGATCCAACCAGACACTAATTTATGCTTTGCCTCTAGTTGAGGAGACCTGGACAGTCCTTGGATGCAGTCACACCCCTGTCTTTCCCAGGTTGCCCCACTCCCACCCCCTGATCTATTAGGAGCCAGGTGACTGGGTCCAACAAAATTACCATTTATTCAAGAAATATTTATTTGAGCACGTACTATGTGCAAGGCACAATGCTGACCACCACAAAGGGATTCAAGGACCAGGTACTGTCCTCAGAAAAGAGAACAGACAAGAGGGAAAAACAACAAATGAAAGAGGCTCCAGTGGAGGTCTTGGCTCATTCCACCAAGCACTTAATCTTCAATTTCCTCCTTTATCAAATGAAGGTACTGCACTAGAAATGATCTCTGGGCATTAGGCCAGCTTGAAAACTTCTTCATTCTAAGCCTTCCCCTTCCCATTCAGGCACCTATGATCTCTGGAAGCTGACAGATTAGGTGCAGCCTTCTAGGAAAGAGGAGGGTCTGCAAAGGCGGGAGCACCAGAGATTATGCACCCCTTCCCCTCCCACCAGTGAGAGGCTCTTTCAATTTGGCCCAAACACAGATACAGGCTGGAGAAGGTGAAAGATAAATTCGGAAAACTAAACTGAAGATTTAGACTTCCACGTCAAGGAATCTGAGGAAAATGGGAGCCACTGGAGTTCGTGCAGGGAAGGATACTATCTCTGTGGTGCAAAGGGATGGACTGACCCCTGAAGGATGAGGAGAAGTGTGATGATGTTGCAACAGGCAGAGCAGAAAAGCTGAGACCTGAAGTGGAAGACTCCTTCCATGGTCTGGCCAAACATACCACTCTATCACCCACCCCCACTCCCATAATGCTTTTTTTTTTGCTAAACTTGCTCAAACCTAAATCACTTTGCACCATCTCTTTCAAGTTCCACAAGTAGCTTCAAGGTAAACAGGTAAGTCCTATTTCCCTACTTCCCAGGAGCCTGAGGTTAAAAAGAACCAATTAGGTGTGCCAAGGGCGGGGAGCAGGAGGCGACCAGCTGACCCCCTCCCGGACCCCCTCCCCCAGGATGTGTGAGGCAGGGAGCTAGAGGGGTGCGCCTACCTGCTGAGAAGCCGTCCTCGTGGTCCGAGCTGTTGTGGCTGCAGTCACTGCCCCTCTCTGGCGAGCTGTGGCTGGGCGAGTCCCGCTCGGGCATCCGCAGGAACCTCTTGCGCCCCCAGTGGGGGAGGTGCTCTCGGGCCCCCCGAGAAGGGGGCTCCTCCATCGCCAGGGGCGAGGCCCGCCCGTCCTTGGTCTCCGCCTCCAGTTGCTCCAGGTCGCGACTCCGCTGCCGGTGTCGCCGACCCCCCGGGATCAGGTGCATCCAGCGATAGGGGCTGCACGCCCGCGCCGGCTTTTCGGCCTCATCGCGGGTCCCCAGCCGGCAGGGAGCCACAAGCAAGTGACCGAGGACAAATTTGTCGTTCAAATCCACCATCTCGAAGTCGTGGTCACTGCTGTCCCCTCCATCGTCGGCGCCCGAGGCGTCCGGCTCGCCCTCCTCAGAGCCCGCCCCGAGCGGGTCCCGGAGGACGGCTCCTCTCCCGGGGCTCCGCGAGCGGTGCCATCGTGGCCCGGGCGCGCGCAGTCCTCCCGGGGCCTGAAGAGGAGGCGCGGCTGGATCAGCTGCTGGTGGATGGCGGCGGTCAAGCTGCGCACCGCACCCCCGGCCCTCGCCACCTCGGGCCAGGAGGGGAGGTCCAGGCGCGCACAGGGGGGCGTCTCGGCCTTGGCGGCCGCCTCCGCGGCGGGGCGCGCGGGGCCCCGGGGGTCGCCGCCGGCGCGGGTGGCGCCCTCCGCCCCGCGCGGCTGCAGCGCCGGCTCCGGCCCGACCCGCGCCGGCTCCTCTCTCGCAACTCCCCCGCAGCCGCCGTCCGCTCCCTCGCGGCCCCGGCAGCCCGGCTCCCGCTTCTCGCCGGCCAGGGCCGCCTGCAGGTAGAAGACTTTGAACTTCTCCTCAGCCAACACCTGTTGCAGGCGTTTCAGGTTGAGTTTGCAGCGCTCCAGCTCGCGCTCCATGTCCAGCACCGAGTCCAGCTGCATGACGGGCGCCTGCTCGCCGGGGAACTCGGCCCGCCAGTGGCGCTCAAATTCCTGCGGGTCCCACATGCCGGGCGCCCCCTCGGGCCTCCGCGGCCCAATTCCGCCGCGCGCCGCGGGCCGGGGTCGCGCCGGGCTCTGCGGGGGAGCGCGGGCTGGCGCCGCCGGCCGCCCCTCCTCGCCGCAGTCACGGGAGAGAACACGAGAGAAAATAAAGTTTTCCCCTTCCGCCTGCGACCTTTTTTCCCTTCTGGGTTTTGCCTCCCTGACGTAAGCGGCCACCCGCAGCGGAGGCGGGAGCCCGGGGGCCCAGGGCCCGCCCCGGCAGGACGCTCGGAGCCTCGGGCGGCAGCCCCCGCAGCCCCGCGGGGCGCGCGAAGGGCCGGGGAGTCCGGCGAGGCGAGGCGCGGCGCGGCGGGGCGGGGCGGGGCTCGGTGGCGCCCGGCCAGGCCCGGCTGCCCGCCTCGGAGCTGCGCCCGCCGCCTGGAGGCTGGGAGAGGGCCGCGGAGAGGCGGGCGGCCCTGCTCCCCACCCAGAGGGGCCGGCGACACCGGAGCTGGTCCCCGCAGGCCCGGCTCGCACCTTTGGGGCCAGTCGGCTGCGCAGCGCCCGCCGCCGCGAGCTCGTGGCGCGGACTCCCGGCTGCCCAGCGCGCGGCCGCGCGGCCCGGGGGGCGGGAGCCTCGCGGAGGGGGCGCGCGGGGGCTCCCGGGGCTCCAGCCACCCGCCTACCTGGTGCTCCGCAGCCTCCCCTGCCTGGGTCGGGAGGTGCCTTGGACTAAGAAGATCAAGAAGAAAATGGTGGGGAAACAGGGCATGTGCCGGGCGGCGAGTGCAGGTGTCGACTGGAGCCTGCTGCTGACCCGCGGGGTCGTAGAATTTGTCCAAGATCATGCAGCTGTTCAAAACCAAAAGGGGGCCCAAAACTTTAGATTTCGTGTGTGTGTGTCTGTGTGTGCATGTGTGTGGTTTAAAGCGTTCCCTCCACAGCCCCGTAAAGTTTTTCTGGGGGAGAAAACACAGCTCTAAGTGACTTTGCTAGAGGCCCCCGCGACTTCAAAGTGCGATATAAACCATGGCTGCAGGGGTCTTAGGCACCTGGGCCTCTTCTCCTAGGGAGGGGGGTCTGGGCTGGCATTCCGGTTGGGGTGTATGGGTGGGGCTCCCGCTTGGCCCTCCCCTCAACCCCTGTTTGCACCACATTTTTTTCCGGGGCCTTGGGTGAGGGTCTACTGTTTGATAAGGACAAGAGAGGTACTGATAAATTGTCTTGTGCTTGTGCAGGGGTGGGGGTGCTTATTGATCACTCACATTTCCTATATGTAAAGATGAGGGATCTATATTCTAAGAAGCTAAGTCACTTAGCAGTGGGAATTATTCCTGCCCACCATGCCCTTTGGGTATTGGAGCTATATTCAGGGACCCCTTCTCTCCAGCCCCCTGCCATCTCCTCTCATCTGAAATACCTGAACAGGCTATGCTATTCACACTTTTCAATCCATCCCTCAAAACTAGATATTAAGAAACCAAAAAGATATTTCTTAATCACAAATGATAGTAACATGACTTTTTGTTCAAAACCCTTCAGTGGCTCTCCCATCACCTGCAGAATGGAGTCCAGACTCCCCTATATGACACAGTCTCCACATTTGGTCTCTGCCCACCTCTCTGCCTTCCTCCTATGCTTTAGCCTTAACCAACTCCATGCTGTCCCCAAATCTATCTCCATTCTTTATGGGTGCCTTTTTCTTTTCCTTGGAGCCCCTGTCCCTTTCTGCAGGAATAACTCCCTACACCCTGGGGAGTTCCAACCCTCCTTTAAGACTCAGCTAAAGGATCTCCACCTCTGTGAGGCCATTTCTGCCCTCTCCCCCTTCTTTGTGTCACTTGACCTTATACATGTCTTTTTCTTCCCTTGTTCCACTTTTTTCAAAAAAAAAAAAAGTTCATTTTTATTTATTTTTGCATACAAGAACTGGGGTGCAGGCCGGAGGTGTGGGGGTGTGGTGGTGAGAGAATTCACCAGAGACAGAGTGGGGAGCAGAACAGGCAGATGGACTGAAATACACTGCTGAGGGGAGCAGCGGGTGAATCAGGAGAGGTCTGCTGCGCCATGTGGGTCAGTTCCCTGGCCAGGGATCTAACTCAGGCCACGGTGGCTGGTGATAGCCTGGCAGCACTGGGTTAACTTAACCCCTGTGCCACGAGAGAGGCCCCCTTGTTCCACTTTTTCATAAATGTGAGTGACATCTTTTGCTTCTACTTTCAGAACCTCTCAAGGAAAGGGCTTGTGTCTTTTCCATGTTTGTATTTCTACTGCTGCTTGCAAAGTGTGATAGGTCATTGATAATTGCTGTATGAAAGAAATGAATGAATGAATGAACAACAAATGTGGATCCTGCTCCAATCCTCCAGCTGTGAGTCACTCCAGACTGCAGGAGCAGATGTGCTTCCCACAGAGACTTCTCAAGTCTGGAATTTCCTTCCTTGACAAAGTCTATTTACTCATCTGCCCAGTACCCCTTCTTCCTTCTTTTTTCTTTGTTCTTATTTTCAATTTTGTGTGCCACTGGCATGAATCATCATCAATGACATCACAATGTCTTTGAGACTGACTGTTATGGGGAAAGGATGATTTAAGATTCATTGAGTATTGTTGCTTCTTGGCCTTTTGGCTAAGAGTAAGTGTAAAATACATTGAGTAATTCCCACTTTGCATGATTTCTTAGTCTTGCACCTCATTCCTCAACCTGCTTTCTCTCCATGTTAGCTTCATATTTAACAGAAACTGACTACTTCCTCAGAGGCCTCCACAATCGCCTTTGTCCACTGCAAAGGACTGCAAAGCGCCCAGTGCCTACCATCAGCCAGGGTGGGTATTCCTTCAAGCAGAGTCCACAAGCATCTTGGTCTCTAGTAAGATTTTAGAAAGGGAGAGAAATGCAGCACAGCAGGGGTGGATGACCCCAGTGGATCACAGCATATTGATTGGGAAATGTTTCAATATGTATATTTAAACGCACAAAGGAAAAAAACAACCAACAACTATACGTTACTATAAGCATCAATTTCTGAATTTGTACCTTCCCTGGGAGGAGAGTTTCAACTCTGTCCTTTAATTAAAACAGCAGTATAGTTCCCTTTTGATCCAGAAAAGTTGTTACCAATACCACTAATTTTTCCCACCAGGACCAATAGAGCCAGAAATGCCAGCATACATCTTCCGTAAACAGATCCCAGGAGCAACCTTCATTGTCTCTAGTTGGTGGATAGTTTGGCTTTATTACTTGGCTTTGGGTCATCATGGGGGCAGGGCACGAGGGGCTGACATTTATTGAGTCCACACTTCTAATTGCCATACATCTTTGAGCTAATCTAATATCTCACAGCAACCCTGTAAGGAAGGTATTACTGATCACTGTCTAAGAGAGAGAGAGAGAGAGAGAGAGAGAGAGAGAGAGAGAGAGAGGTCAAAGAAGTTAGCTGTCACAGGGCTAGTCAGCTGGATTCTAAACCCAGTAGCTTTGCAAGGGCTTGACCCAGTGCATCTGTAATTAGCATTCATTCATCCAATAAATATTGGATGAGCACGTACTAGATGCCAGAGCCTAACAAGTAAAGTTTAAACTTTGTAAACTGGACTATCAGATCTTTTACAACAGGTCCTCTGACCCCAGTCTACTTTCCAACCCCACTTCCTAAATTTCTTCTATTTGCTGCACTCATTCAACTTTCCAATCTGGGTCACTCAGTACAGATGCCTTTTTTTAAAAAAGATTTATTTATGCATACAAGAACTGGGGTGTAGGTCAGAGGTGTGGGGGTAAGAGGAATCACCAGAGACAGAGTAGGGAGCAAAATAGGCAGATCTACTGAAATACACTGCTGAGGGGAGCAGCGTGTGAGACAGGAAAGGTCTGCTGTGCTATATGGGCCAGCATCCTAGTCGGGATGGAACTGGTGCTGCAGTAGCTGCGGATAGCTTCATAGTGCTGTGTCTTAAGCTCTTGTGCCCCCAGGGAGGCCCCAGAACAGATGCCTTTTGTGTCATATGCCACCTCCCTTTGGCCCATTTTGGATTTCTGATGCAGCTGCTGGGGTCTTACCTCAAGAGGCCACCTTAACCATGCTCTACTTTAATGCCTTAGGGTTCTTGTCAAAGTCACAAAGCTCTCAAGAATATCCCAAATGGAAACCTGGGGGGCGTTTACATCCCCAGGAGTATCTCATGATGATGGAAATGAAAGCTGGTTATTAATGCCCCAGGCTCCTATCTTTGGGGGGCATTTCCAAGTCTTTCTTTTTTTTTTAAAAGATTTATGTATTTATACATATAAGAGCTGGGGTACAGGCCAGAGATGCGGGGAATGAGAGGATTCACCAGAGACAGTGGGGAACAGAACAGGCAGATTGACCGAAGTACACTGCTGAGGGAAGCAGCAGGCAAGTCAGGAGAGGTCTGCTGCGCCATGTGGGTAGCTCCCTGGAGTG